TAACATCCTATTAGAGATACGGCAATAAGAATATAAATTAAAACAGGAAGCAAAATTGTGTTGCTTCAATTTGGTAACTCGATTTTTAACAAGTTAGAGATGCAGAATTCCGATAGACTTAGGCTGTTGAAAGAAAAACCAACCTTGGATTCCAGGCAGGGTCAACCACAATCACACGGTCTGCCTTTGTCAGAGTAAGGCCGAGACCACCAACTTGAGATGTCAAGAGAAAAATAGGAGCCACATGACCACTTTGAAATTCCTGGAATATATTAAGGTTTTATAGAACTATGATAACATGAACACAATAGAAAATAACTAACTCCGGAAAAAAGTAAAATGTAATGTGTTAGAGAATAGAAAAACCCACTTCCACAGTCTTCAATCTGTCAGGGGCTTTTGTTGTACCGTCAATTCGCAAGAAACTATAGCCATTGGAGTTAAGAGAATCCTGAAAATTTCAAACGTAGTCCATAAAGAATCCTTATTCCTTAAAATTTCAAGGATAACAGTTGGGGGTAAAGTTAGCAGCAAGCAAACCTGAATGAGATTAAGCATCTTGCGTGTCTGTGAGAAGATTAGAACACGGTGCCCTTCTGGAATCAAATTGTCCTGAGTAACAATGCAGAAAAGATGTTAGTGAAACAGACAAATCTCAAAATGATAATTGAACCATAAAATGTGATCTTACCAGTAGTGCCATGATGAATGACAATTTGCAAGAGACACTGTCATTCTTGGTCTGAAAATCATCCGTATCCACATTGTCTGCAATATGCATAGCCAATCTCTCTGCCACGCCTGCTTCTTCTTGTGTTAATGTTGATTCCATTCCCTCAAGGACATCCTCGGCAGCCCTCTTAGTTAACAGAAGCGGGTGGTCACATATTTTCTTCAGAATCTGTTTCATAGCAAAACAATAACCGTAAGTTGTCAGATATTAGCTAAATTCATTATCATGAACAGACAAGAATTTGAACAAGAAATATATCCTTGAAGTGTTTATAAACAGAGGAAAGGAAGCCACTTTCTCACGTAGCATATATCCTAAGAGTACTAAGCAAAGTGTAAAGATCTGAAGCTGAGTCCACATTTATTTAACGAATTAACTGGATAAGAGAACGCATAGACACACACGCATGATCAACAAACAAAAAAACAAGAAGAGAGCTTCAAGTTACCGTCAGAGCTGCTAGAGGCGAACCATCAAAAGCTGACAGAACAATTTCACTTTTTAAGAAAGCTTCATATAATTGCCTCTGCAACAAAGATACAAGTATCAGTAATTCTATAAAATTGAGAATATGAGACCAACAAATGTGTTTAGGGTTCACACCTGGCAAGCTGTTAAACGTAGCCATACAACAATTTCATCCTTTTTTGAAAGTTTGGAGGTTGCGGCGGCATCATCACCAAAGACTTCGCTCTTAAGACGCCGCAAGAAAAAAGGTTGAATATGCTCCCTCAAGTTCTATTAATCAGAAGGATATAAAGAAGAAAAAATTTACTTGTAAGATCTACAACCGTACATACTGTACCAACATATAACAGTAGTAAGACAGGCCAGGATAAGAGGAAGTCAAAACCTAATAAGATTGTTATCAGCTACATTCCGAAAATAATACCCACTCAAGCATATTAGAATTGAATCCTCACCTTTGCTACTGTTGAGCCTATCCTCTGTTCTCTATCAGATGCATTTTTGTCAGTTCCACGAAGAATGTAATGCTCATAATTCTGCTTAAACCTGTTAAAAGCTTGAAGGCTTAATAATGCAAAACTGGTAAATGTACTCTAACAAATCTGAATGAGAGAAAAGATGTTTACCAATTCTTGTCACCGAGTAGCCCAGGGCAGCTGAAATTAAAGAGAGCCCACAATTCCTGTATTGCAAGAATATATTAATAGATGAGAATGTAATGATAGATGAAAAGATATTGACCAACCGTTAAATGTCGTAGACAATACCTTGAGATTGTTCTGGAGCGGTGTACCACTTATTATTATCCGGTGAGAACTTGGAATCTCGAGCAAACTCTTGGCCCTTTGTGTGCTCGGGTTCTTGATAAGATGTCCCTAGAAGTGTAAGCGGAAATACATTATATTGACATCAGTGGGAAAAGGTCAAAACATGCATTGGCTTCCTAATTGGAAAACTATTAGTAGGCAGACCTCACAAATGATAAACTATTGACATGTATTTACCTCGTCAAGGATCATGTAGTCCCATTTAATTCCATCTTCATCATCCTCATCAGTATAAAGGTCGTTACCTTTCAAAGCATTTGTGTTGTTACGTACTATATCATAGGTCGTTAGAAGAACACCTTTACCCTACAAAAGTCAGAGATATCTCAGTTTGAAATCCCATGCCATTTTTCAAGGCTCTGCTGCCTTCCTAGCTCTAAAGCTCAAACAATAAAAATTAACTATCTGGAGGAGAAGAAGACCAAGACAGAATGATAAAATATTTCTCAGCTTAATCAATCAAAACAATATGAAAATATATGCTGCTATACAGATAAAGATGATTTACTACAGGGCAGTGTAAGCAACTGAATGCATTCACTCGCACCAATTCATGTACAAGTTCCTTGTTGATCTTCTAGCCACAAATCAAGTTAAAATGTAAATGAATTATAACTGCATAGTTAAGGCAGTAGTGACATTTCTCAGGCTAACAATGAAAGAAAGAACATGTACCTGTAGAATGTGGTGGAGATCATATTCTCGGGCTTTTGTAGAAGTGCCATAGTATCTTTAGAGAGGATAGTTAAAACAAATCAGTGACACGTTATTTAACACCACTTCAGTAAATAACAAACAAAGAGAACAAATCTTACTCCCTAGTCATTTGTGAAAGTCCCACGGTAGCTAATTCTTTCATCCAATGAGGCAGCAGAGTTTTTGGGGCCACTATCAGAGCACGTTTGATCAACTTAGATTGGAACAAGCCAGCCAGAAAACTACAAATCTGCAGTACAAATAACCCGAAATCAGCATTACATTATTATTAGAAAGAAAACGAAAAGTGCAGGTTGCAAATTTCCTTACCTGCATAGTTTTACCTAAACCCATATCATCGCCAAGAATTCCACCTTTCCCTTGGGTATGCAGTGACCAAAGCCACTTCAACCCTTCCCTCTGATGTGGATATAACATCGTTGCAATCTTTCCACGCAATGTGTAAGATTTTTTGGGACCAGTTAGAGTGATAGACCCTTCATCCTCCAACACTCTCTCATCATAATCATGTCTTTCAATATTGTAAGACCGAGCTGGCTTTTTAGGCTTTTCAAGTTGGCTTTTCATTTCAGCCGCCTTTTTCCCAGTCAAAACAACACAG